CTGAGAGTGCCATCATTGCTTCATCCTGTAGAAACAGGTGTAGCTTTAGCTCCAACGGTGTGTTGCTGCTGTTTTTAGTGGAGAACAGCATTTGCGATATCATATCCTTGCCGTGTTGAGGCTTTGTACGTAGTTTGTACCGTGTAGCGTGTATCATCTCCTCCAATTAATTACACATGTTTCCTTTGCATTTGAAGCCCGGTTGGACTTTGGATAAATCCATTCCTCATCTGAATCGCAGTAGATTGAGTAGGATTCAGCGAAAAAGATAACTAATTAAGGACCAAGGGCATTTTAGTCATTTGCAGTCGCAACTAACAAGTGGTGCAAACGCCCGCTTGTGTGTGCATGTAAGGCTATCTTCAACCACAACACCCAAAATACAAGACACATTCGTTCATTGGGTAGCGCTACAGACAAAAGGTTCAATATCTATTCGACATCTTCTACAACAAAAAAATCCAAAAGAGAATCCTTTCTGTAAATATGTTTCCAGGAGAGAGGATGTCTATATTTGGGTTGTGTCTCTCAGACAATCTAAAATAGATCTCCCGTATAGGTACTATGTTAGAGGTTGATTTTAGATCTCTTGCTACCTATTTTGGATTTGAGTGCTTATATGAGTTGCTTGTTGGAGACGGTCTAGGGCCAAATCGGCAGCCGCCCACTACAAAACGCCCCCGTGATGCAGATCAGCTAAGCCTAAGCTGTCCATTCAGCAGTAAAGCAAAAAACCTTCAGCTGCAGGTGCAGGGATCGGAAGCTAGCCACACGTAGGCGCACGCAGATCAGCAGATGAAGCTGTTCGCCTTCGTGAGGCGCGCGCGCCGGTCGCCGCCGACGTCGCCTGCGGCGCCCGAGGACACTTCCACCGCCGCTGCGCCCGCCGAGAAGCGGCGCCGGAGGCCGTCTTCGTCTTCGTCGTCGGGGTCGGCGGCGGCGTGGAAGCCGACGCTGGGCGCCATCTCCGAGGACGCCGCCATGACCGCCGCGTCCATGGCGAAGGCGCAGGCGAAGCCAGCCGCGGCGCCGAAAGCCAGGGCGAGGTCGCCTCGCCGTGCCACCCGGGCGGCGAGCTACGATGACTTCCGGTGAGTTCCTTGGCGTGTGCGGTGCGTGCGTGCGCGGGGCGAGGGAGAGGCCAGGGAGGGGTGGCCGGATCGCGACACGCGTCCGTTGACCCTGGGGCGCCGGCAGCCGGCTCCTCCCGGGAGGTTTGAAGAGATGGACGCTGCGTGTCGTCGCCGCCGAGTGGGCCCCCGATGCGCTTATGTGGGCGCAGGCTAGGCTAGACCTTGCGCACACGTTTTTACGTGAAGAAGGTGACCTTCTAGGTTTGGAAGAAGGATGGATAACACTAACCGAAACGGTGGATATGATAGTTGATCAACTCGCGCGCGGCACCTAATTTTAGTTGGGTTGGATGCTTCACGAAAGTCCACTGGAGATTTGGCGCACACGAGAGAGACCCTTTCGATCGATCGATCGGGTCAAACCTACTTTTTTGGTAGCTTATGGGAGCAGTCAACTTCATCTTGCAAATTGTACGTCTCCAAGTGGACTAATAACTATCTAAAATTAGCCTAAATTAACTTCTTTTTTATCAGCTAATTGTGTACTCCTATATTTAAAAAAAAATCCCTGTTAGATAGGCTAATGGCTAATTGGCTAGTTTTAGCAAATACTCCAATTAGCCTGTCTCGTCTATCTCAACTTACCATAGTTTCGTTCCCATGTCGAATATTGTATGATTTTTTGAATGTAAACTTCGAGGACCTGACGTTTGTGTTAAAATGAATATAGATTAATACTGATGACTAATTAATACCATTTCTCAAATCTACACATAATATCCCAAACTTAATGTTTGCACCATTAGGAATAATAATCAAACTTTTAAATTTTGGAACGGATCGTTATCTGTACCACGGCGGACAAGCTCGCTATCCTTATCGGAATCCGGAGCGATGGGGTCGCACGGAACTCCAGATGCCTTGGCCATGCTAGTTTACACTGTACCCCCTTTTTATCGGTAGTGCATGCGTCAGAAAGAGACCTTTTCTCAAGCTGCGCACTGCCATGCCCTGGTGACCCGGTCTGGCCACCCACAACAAAGGCACAAGGCTGTGCTGCTGCATGACTGAAGTCACTGAACTGAATCTGTGAACGAGTAGGAGTACAGACTACTCTGTGACCATGGCGGCGATGCCTACGGCCTACCACTACTACTTGTCCGGGGCCATGTTTAGATTACAATTTTTTACAATCTGGATATTGTAGCATGTTTTGTTTGTATTTGATAAACTTTGTCTGATCATGGACTAACTAGGCTCAAAAGATTCGTCTCGTGATTTACAACCAAACTGTGTAATTAGTTACCCTTTTTTATCTATATTTAATATTCTATACATGTATCTAAAAATTAATATAATAAAGAAAGAGTGAAAAAACTTGAAACTTTAATGTCATCTAAACAAGGCCCGGTTGTCCCTGGGCATCATCGTACCTGGAAAAGATAAGCGTGACCATGGCGGCGATGCCTACGGCCTACCACTACTACTTGTCCGGTTGTCCCTGGGCATCATCACACCTGGAAAAGATAAGCGTCTGTCCGCTTTGACTTATAATCAGTATTTATTCAATGAATAAATGATATTTTTTTAAAAAAAATATGTCAATAATATTTTCAATTATGACTTATCAGCAAAACGAGCAGGACGAAGATCAGCGCATAATGCAAAATGCACTGCAGATTGCAAGAGGACCCGGCCCGCGCTTAATAAAGCTTTCCAGCTTCAAACCAAATCCGATAATGCTCGAACGTACTGGTGACTTCCTTCTGTAGATGACGTGGATCGTACCAAGTCCAAAGTTGCTCGCTCGCTTAGAGTAAGTATAATAACGGGATGTAAACTAGCTAACGATGAGTTGGAGAAAGAAGATAAGAGAGAAGAAAACGGGTTGTAATCTTACATCAGGCTTAGACACGAGAAAAAAAAAACTCTACGAGAGAGAAACGGGCAACGTATTAATAATGAAGAACTAATTATTATATAGGTGGGTTAAGAGAAGGATGTAAAGAACCTTACACCCATAGCCGGCGGTAACTATTAGGGCAGTCCCAATAGTGTATTGACGATGGTTTCTATCTTCATTAAATGACTTGCCACGTTGGCAAAACACTGACATGGCAACGTAATTAATGAAGAAAGAGATCAAAAATTATAGAAATGGTTTCCTCATGAAGAAATCAGGTCTACTCTTGACCCAATGCGCCAAGAAACCATGAAATTGCCATTGGGGAGAAACCACCCGTTTTTAAAGAGCTCGTGTCACACTCCCATTGGAGGAAGAAGATAGAGTTGGAAGAGAGAAAGAGAAAATAATTATTACTCATAGAAACCATGGGTTGGAAAACAGTACTCCCTCCGGTTCTCTAAAGCAAGTCGTTTTGAGATTGTCTTAAGTCAAATATTTTAAACTTTGACTACAAATAATTTCTTTTGGGTTGAGTTTGAAAATATGAAAGTGATGTAAGTAGATTCATCTTGAAATATAGTTTCATAAAAGTATATATTGACTATATTTTATAAATATTTTATAGCAAAAAGTTGCAGTTAAAGTCGTTTTTTAAAGACCGTGTCGATGTCCAAAACGACTTGCTTTAGATAACCGGAGGGAGTACTTTTTTTGTGCGGTATCCTATGTTATAGAAACTACTGGTTTCTTTTATTGGGACTGCCCTTAGCCTTCCTCTTATGTTAGCTACAGTAGTTGTTAAAGTAGCATTAACTGTTGACGCTGACTCAGGTGCATCCATCTTTCTCTCCCTGCAGGCACTACGGCCAGCCGATGGTGCTGCCGGCGTTCACGCCCACGGCGTTCCTGTTCTGAGCGCCGGCGAGCCGCAAGCAACGCAAAAACGGCGGCAGACCTGCGGGCTGCGGCGGTGTAGCTCATATGTGTGGAGTGGTGGTGCGGCTCGACGACGATGTGCTCCCAAGCCCCCAACCTGATTGATGCTCGCAACGCTGATCCCTAGTGCTTCTGATCTACGGAGTATGTGCATACAGCTGTTTCGTATTATTCTCCCCAAACTTGGGCAGTGCTTTTCCGTTACGCGCGCCTTTTCTGATTTCTCTTGAGCTACAAAAATTTGCTCCGTTTGCTTTCACCTCCGTGTGGCTACTTCCGCAAGAACACAACTACAGGAATCTAAAGCTCCCAGTTCTCCCAGTTCACCTTTTTATTTTGAAGCAAATTGGGCAATTCAACCTGAATCATCCAGACTAACGACACATGGAATCGCAACCCAAGAAAAAGAAACGCGAGATTAAACCAATTAAAAAAATGAAACGAAGAATCAGAGCCCCAGCTGGATGGCACCGATTACACAGGAATCTCCAACATAACTTTACTACTAGTTCCATTTGGAATCCAATGAAATCCCAGCGATCCAAACGAGGCTTATACTAACTAGACAACCAAGATCGAAGGTTATATCCTTTATAATCATAATATAACCGTACAAGAATACAATGTACCAATAGTTTCTTCTAAAAAACTAGCACAATAAAATCCCAATTTAGCAGCTTATGAAGACAAAGCCCGAAAATTGCATTTTAACACAGGCTGCATACCACCAATCTGGCAACATCATAAAACCAAGCACGCCAGAGATACATACTGTCACATCCAACTAAGGTGCGCAGCGCAGGTAGCAATTATTCCCCAGCAATAAGTCGCGGCTGGCGAACATAAGCAGAAATAGTTCACAAATTCACATCTCTCGTTATCAAGAGAGGAAATGAACCCTCAGTCATAGCCTTTTGTTTGCTATCAATGAGATTAGCGCCCCTCGCGTGCCACCATTTGACAGAGCAACAGTTGGACTTCTCCACGCAGGGGCAGTTGAGTATGAAGATACAGCAGGGTGCTTCATCGAGGCCATGATACCTGAGCTGTGTCATCGTGGCACATGTAATATGTGTGCCAAGCGATCAGTAGCCGTTTATCTTTCGCTGGGAAGGGCCAGAGTGTAACGTCCTGCTGTCAGTGAGCCTTGAAAAGCCAGACTGATCCCTAGTCCCTGGGCTAGGAGGAACTCTTGGACTGGGAACACTTGTCAGCCGGCTCTGTGGTGCAGTATCAGACATGGACGTTGAGAAGGCCTGGGCGAGCTCCAACGCGGTTGCTGCTTTCCCAAAACGAGGTGTTGCAACCTCTGGCTTTGGAGGCTCCACTGGCTTACGCCATGTCTCAGGCTCTGGGCGTGGTTGCTCCTGTGGCTTCTCCATATCTCTAGCGACCCTCTTGCTGTCCTCCCGACGAGTAGGCCTATATGCATCAGCCCTGTCAGTATCCCGCTTGTAATCTTTCTTATCAACACTCCTTGGGCCTCTATGACCAGCTGGAAAACCATCAGCTCTTTCAACAGAAGGGTTAATGGACAAAGCTTCAACCTTCTGCTCAACCTTTGCAAATTCACCTTTAGGCCTACAAATGACAGAGCAACTATCAGAATCTAACACAAGTTCAACTTACGCTGTTCTGCAGTAACCTCTGCAAGGAAAAAACGATTTCAAGTAAACAAACTTCATTACAAGTTACCATAAAACAAGAAAAATCTGATAAGGTTGCACAGCAAGCATTATATTTTTTCTCATCGGTCCATTCCATGGGTCATGAAATGAAACCTAGTGAATTTCTGTGGCATGAACACAATATGATCCTTTTTCCCCCCTAATAGAACGGCAAACTCTTGACATAAAGCCCTAACAGATTCTTGAAGCACACTACTCAAATATCATTGGTGTCACTCAATTATCAGAAATCCATGCAAATACCTATTGGAGATTAATTAGCTTATGTTGTCCCCATAAGATCAAATTATTTGTTTCTGGTTTCTTTCATGTAATAATAATATAACAAAATACTCCCTCCATTGAAAATTATAAGACATTTTGGCCTTTTTAGATACATTACTTTTACTATGTATTTAGAAATAGTGTATATCTAAGTGCATAACAAAACCTATGTATCTAGAGAAGCCAAAACGTCTTATAATTTGGAATGGAGGGAGTACCATCTAACACACACCCTTTGATATCAAGTTCCAACAAATAAATCAGAACTTGTGACCTGTAAGAAAAATTGTATCACCGCAACCTAACTAAGGCCCTGTTTGGATCCAAGGAGATAGTAGTTAGCTGCTAATAATTAGTTCTTTGGATCCAAACAGGTCTAGCTAATAGTTTAGCTAATTGTTACCTGAATACTCAAATAACAACTATTTCACTAGTTGAATCAAAGTAGCTAATAGCAGCTAATAATAGTTGTGACCTATTAGCTAACTAACTATTAACTGCTAATGGATCCAAAGAGGCCCTAAAATACATCTATCAATATAAACATAAAACATCACTGACACATAACAACCTGCCAACTGGTGAAGTCTTCTCAAGATCACTGGCCAAAACATCCACTCCGCGTTCTTTGAGAACCTGGATTTGTAAAAGAACAATATCAGATTTTGATTCAGCCAGACACAAAAAAGAATAAATAGTATATCACTAAAAAGGCACGGAGTACATACTTGTTCCCGGGGGCGAGCACCACCAAAGAGGGATGGCCTAGGGCATTTGAAGTAACAAAAAAAAGTCAAAATAATAGTAAATTTTATTTAACTCTACATATATCATACACAGTACTTGAATATATTGATCTCAGACCTAATTCTTGTCAAACATAAGCATCATCACTAATAAATTGTGAAAACAAAGATCCAAGTTCTCACATATTCAAGAAAAGAATGAGGTGCTGGTACCTACAATCAATGAATCTAGACATCATTCTGCTACCACCACTCATTGCAACCATCAATATTCTCCTTTACCATTATCCATTGTTCTTGGAGATCTCATCCAAAGCAGAACTATAATTTTTTTGAATGCAAGCAGAATTATAATTTTTTTAATTGATAGAATGAAATATTAAAATATTTGTTTCATAGACTTCACTAATTTTTTTTCCATGTATGGTTGGAGAATGGAGTGATGCAACATTCAGTCACTCACTAATTATTTGACGAAATTGAAGGTGAACAGCACCATCTAATCATATAGACAACAAAACCAACCCTACGGCATTCAATTAAACATTACCTATACAAAAGCACAAGGCAAAAGGTATGCAAAACCACTGACACAAGCGGACATAGTTGGTGTTGTTTTAATCTTCGAATCCAATATGGTTCCAGACTCCAAAGCAATGCAGCAAGCTATGCTAGGGGCATGTTTGGATACAAGAGCCAATTGTTAGCTAGCTAAAAATTAGCTCTAGTGCATCCAAACAGGAGGGATAATAGGTAGATTAATTTTTTATCCAAGCCTTCAACTAGTTGTTAGCCAACTAGCTCGCCAACTCTAGCTAATTTGGGCTAAATTTTAGCCCCAACTAGTAACTAGCTCTAGTGATCTAAACAGGCCCTAAATTGCATAACTAACAAATGCATACAGGGGCATAAAACTGAAAGAGCAGAGTAGCTTGACACTAATTTTGCAGTAACCAAAGATCGCTTAACAAAGACGTTATATGCAAGTTGGGAGTAGAATGTTAGTCAAAATAGGAGCTCGGACATGTTTGATTACATCGCATACCTTTCCTTAACAGCAATTTCATCAGACTGTCCTGTCGCATAGGAACGAGGCTTCAGATTCAGACGTGGTCGCTCTGCTACCTTGCTCTCAGCATCTGCTCCTAAAACTCCTGTTTTAGTAGTCATTGCATTCTGGTGCACATCATGATTAACCTCGGCCTTCATGAGGTTAGCAGTAACCTGGACCTGGTGCACCTATACAATCATCCATATCACCAATGAAAAAACAATTAGATTTCCAGTATCATTGTGAAAGCTTCCATACTAATTACCAACTTACAAAAATAAAGAAACCACAACAAACACAAAAATATGCAAGCAATCATGTAACATTTGCGTAGAGGTATATCTAGCAGCCAAATACTGTACTGTTGGACTGTTGGTTGTTGCTATTGATGAAAGACATAGCAAATAAACTTGCAATCTGATCAACAATACTGTACTGTTGGTTGTTGCTATTGATGAAAGACATAGTAAATAAATTTGCAATCTGATCAACACAGGCATGGAAATAACAAATCGTAACAACCTGCTTCTCTTCAACATAGGTAGGAGATGGTTCAGGAGCCTCAATTGGCTTGGACCGAGGAAGCAGCTTCAACCTGGGTCTCTCTGGCACCTCCCCTGCTCTCACTTCCCCAACCCTTCCTTCATGCGACGCGGGTCTCACTGGTGCCGCGCCCTTCTCCACCCCACTATCCAGCTCCCTCACCCCAACAGACCTAGGTCTCTCAATCTCTGGCGGGGCCACGGGAGTCTCCAACACCGGAGCTGGCACTGGCACTGGCACTGGCACTGGCGCCGGCGGAGACGAGGGCTTCGACGGGTGCCATCTCCCGGAGATGACCTTCTCCACTGCGCTGGCCTGGGCGATGCGTGTCGCGAACCAGATCTGGCCGCCGGCGGAGGCAGGAACAGGACCCACAGGGGAAGACGCTGGAGAGGGCTCCTTCCTCGGGCCCCACGCGTTCCCGGGCCCGGATCTGGTGGGCGCCACCACGGGAGCGGGTGCGAACGACGTCGGGGACGGCGCCGGGCGGCGCGGCGCGGCGGGCTCGAAGGGGGTGCGCTCGTCCTCGTCGAAGTGATGGCCGATGCGGGACGGGTTGGTGAGGAAGGAAGGCAGGCTCGCGGCTGCCGCCGCAGCGGCGGTAGGAGAAGCGACCGGTACGCGTGGCCGTGCGACCGCGGCTGCGACGGGGGACGCGGAGGCGACGGTGCGGTCCGCGGGGCGCGGGGTGCTGCGGCAAACAGACGAACCTGGTCAGTTCATATCGGAAGGAGGAGGAGCGGAGGAGCAACGGCGGGCTAGGGGTTTGGCGGGAACTTACACGCCGGGGGCGGAGGGGAGCGGGAGCTCGGAGGGGATGGAGCCGCCGTGGAAGTCCTTGAGCGTCATCGTCGTGACCGCCTTCTTCTTCGACATGGCCGCGGCCGGCGCTGTGGCCGAGGAGCTGGCCGGCGCCGGGAGATGACCGTCGGCTGCTGCTGCTGCTGCTGCTTTGGCGCGCCTGATCGGTGTGTCGCGCCCGCGTCCTCTGCTTCCGAAGGACTCGAGGAAGGGGGGAAGGGTTTGTGTGTTGCGTTGGAACGAAGACTAGGGAACTTTTACGCTGCGGCCCTTTGCACAAGTACAATATTCGATGGGCTGCGATTGCGAGTCAGGGTGTCGTTTAAATTTGATGAAATACTAGGGATCAGTGGGCACAAATATCATGTGGATTAGGCCTGACCTTGGTCAGGCTCCGGCATGGCCTGATGGTGCCCAGTTCAATTGGGCTGGTTTGTTGATGGGCTCCCGGGCCAGGCCAATTTAGCCGGTGAGGAAACAAACAAACAGCAGATATTTGTTACAGGCCCATTTGTTTTCTTCTCATCATTTTTGTTTGAGGGCACACAAAAAAAGAGCTCATAAAAATGAGCCGAAAAAGTTTGAGGATGACGGTGTACTATGCTCGACTCCGAAATTAGGGGATTCTTATTACACAAAATTTCTTTTCCGATTTTTTCTCGATATCCTCATCGGCGTACGATATAATCCCAAATCAGAGCCACAGCCATGGATCCGAGCTGACGGGGGCTCTGCTCCATGGAAGCGGCGGGCAGGCTAGTCGGTCGCTGCGGTGGAGCTGCCGGCAATGGTCAGGCTCTCCTCTGAATGACTGAATCCCATGTTGCAGCGCGCAGAGTGGCAGTCCGCCGCGGTCCTGCGACAGTCCGCGGAACGCGAAGGTGTTAGCGAGCGAGGACGACGAGGAGTCCGCTCCGATGCTTGACTAGCCCCCTTGATCTGGGAACCGGGATGCATCAGGTGAGGCAAAACTTCCCAGATTTTCAACCTTCCTCCGCAGTCTGCACTTATGGCTTGAACACAGATTGGTTGCGTTTTTTCTTACTGGTAATTTTTACCTGGTACTTTCTTGCAATCGTACTAGAAGCGCTGATGATCGGCAGATAGACTACTTGAACCTTTTTTCCCGGTGGGTCAGAACTTTTCTTTGCTTATTATTGATGCAACCAAAGTTAATTTGGACTGAAATTTGTGGGTATATATTTTTTTGTTTTAACCTGTTTTATTAGAGTCTAAAATTTATAATAAAACACGTAGATGTCACGGTACATTGAGCACGTGAAGTGGCTATAGGTAAAGTTTCACGTACCTTTTTTTTGTTCCTAAGTTTCACGAGTGGGCATGCACGCAAGTAAAGTTTCACGTACGTTATGTTGGGCACGGGTTACGTGCATAAAAAGTACGCAGTTCATACTAATTATAATTTAGATTATGTTATGTCCAAAATTATAAAAATAAAAAGATTTTCCATATCCATAGATGATGTATACATTAATTAGATATAAAACATTTTATATCTAAAAAATTATTTATTATTTTATTTTATAAAATTTAAATTTAAATATATATATATTTCACATATTACGTCTCACATGATCCTAACCATATAATCTAATTAAATGAATGGCTCACTCTCATTTGAGAGTACCAAAACAAAGCTCCATCAAATTAGTTATTTATATGTACAATCATCTTTTATGTATTGCTTTTGGTGATTTGAGCCGTACTGCATTGACATAATCTTGCACAATCACATATACTAGCGTGCACTCAAGGTATTTATGCTCTCATGTTTCACAAAGCCAGCTTATATATACTCAGAGATCGACGCATTAGCACAATGTAATTCCAAAGACATCTGTAGCAAGATGCATTAGCAATGTTCTAATTGTTTAAGCTCTCATGTTATTTCACAATAACAACTGGCATGCTTTGCTTTTTGCGATGGATTGTTTGTAGGTGCATAATAGCATAATGTTGCGCCCACGACATCTCAAGACGTGCATTCGGATTTTATTTTATGCTCTCATGTTTCGCACGGCCAGGTTTTTTAGTTTTATAATTTGGAATATAATGGGTTTTTTTTTGAGTGGATGGAATATGATGGTTGTTATTCTTGCATATGAATATGTCAGCAATCCTCTGTTGGGCGCTGACGGGCAAACCTTGGCTGGGCCGGCACTTGGAAGAGAGCAACGTTCCAGAAGACCCAGCGTCAAGGTATATGGGCCGGACTGGGCTGCGAGCTGATCCAGTGGTGTGTGTCGCGAGTCCAGCTGTGAGCGTCACGTGCCGCCTGCGTGCGGATAAAGCAGAGGCGCTGCCTCTTGTATCGTTAAGCTGCAGTCCTGAACAACTACTTCTCCGAGTAAATCCTGTCCCCGCTAACTTGCTTCTTCTTTTCTAAATCAGTAATGCTATACAACACATGTATGTTTTAGTGAAAAAAAAACATATGGTTTTTTTCTTTCTCTCTCTCCCTCTCCCGTCCTCTCCCTTTGCGTGCACACGCATCCCGCGCGGAAGGAAGCCGGTCAAAGAGGCGTATCGAGCGTGTCACTTCTGTACGGACCACGCAGCCTTCTTGTGCGTTGGGGGTCTTGCGCTTGCACGGGCAGCCTTTCGATCCCAGAACGATCATGACGAGTGACGACCGGCTTCGAGAATGGAGCCGATTACAGTTAAATCCCCCTCTTCGCTTTATTTGTGATTTGTCCTTCCATATAAAAAAATTGTGATCTAGTAGAGGCTGAAGGTTGAAGGTAGAAAAAGGGTGGATGATGTTGAATCTTAATCCTATAGTGTAAAAAAAATCATGTGTTGAAACTACATAAAACACGTGGTTATGTAGCAGACATACTCTTTCCGAATACCCTTGCCGTTAAGTTTTTTGACAAGTGGTATCATTAAGCTGTATGACCCTGAACAACTCCTCCAAGTAAATCCTGTCCTCGTCTACCCTTGCTTCTTCTTTTCCGAATTCCCTTGCCGTTATAGTGAGCGAGTTTGTTGAGTGGTATCAGAGGCACTGAGTCTTGGATCCCCATGAAATCGACCACAATCACTTCACTCGGTTTGGAAAACAATTGGGTGCCATGGATCCAAACTTGAAGCTCATCCTAGATGAGTTCAAGGTGGTGCGCGGCTCCGTCTCGTACTTGCAGACGTCGCTGACCTTGCAGATCGAGACGGTGGAGACCAATATCGGCAAACGCTTCGGCGATTTGGAGAACTCGTCCAAGGTGCTCAACGATTGGAAGCCGCGCATGGATGCGACGGTCGACGACCTTCGTTTGGAGCTGGGTGCACTTCGCAAAGATAGTGAATCGCGTAGTGATCAATTCCGGTGCAGCCACATCGGCGGGCATCCTCAGCACACCCAGGGTGGCTGCGGCATCTTCACCCGCCGGCCGCCGGTCACCCGGCCCTCGGCCCAAGCGGACACCGCGGTGAACTATGCCACCGGGAGTCTGGGTTTCACACTCAACTCCCTGTCAAGAGTACGCTTATTCCTCCTGTTCCTGTTTTTCAGTGTTCCGCGTCGTTCTCTTTGATTGAGGCCATGTTCGGTTATCAGGGAATGAGTGGCTGGAAAAAATCTAACTGGAATTCAAGATTAATTTGTATGAGGAATTAAACCTGGAATAGTTCCTGTACCTGGAATGGCTTAACCAAACGGCCCTGAGGGGATGGATACCCGGTCTCTGGGACGTGGATGTTGGGATGGTGTTTCATCGCCGCACAGCAGACTGCCGATGAACTTTCCCTCTTTTGGTGGTGACAATCCCAAACTCTGGTTGAGTCGTTCACTCGTTCCCTACCTCCCAGTCACATTGCTTCGCCGTTCGCCCGTTTCCTATCTCCACCCTGCCGCCGCTAGCGTAGGCCGCACAAGCATCTTCTGTCAAAAACATAGTAGGAGCATCTCCAAGAGACTATTTATATATTTTCTAACGGATAGGAATGGAGATTTTGGTAAAAAAACACCCTCCAACAGCCTCTCAATTGGATATCTAAAATATAGATATCCTATATTCTAGATTTCTCGCTCTTCAAAGATGGAGAGCGAGAATGGCTCTCTAGACTGCACACAAGATTAGAAAAAGTTGTTGCAAATGAACCTCCAAATGATGATTTAGAGAGTAGATTTAAAAAAAGCTCTTGGACTTGCAGTAGCAGACTAATCGCAAAGCAGTTACAGGCCACCTCCTACAAGAATAATAATCCTAGCCTACTGAAAACACAAAGAGCTTACGGATGTCCCTCTTATTCATGTTTATACAGACGATGTATAAGCACAGGTTAAACACTTAAACAGGCGTCCTTCTCGCGATTCGATCACCGAACAAACAAACAACAAACCCCTCCGCAGCACTCATCATCAGTCCACAACGATACTGCTTCCACCCCGGCGACACAACACAGAGTCAAGCCCACTTTCCGCGGGTAAGAGAGTGCAGCAGCAACAGGCGGTGAGGTTATCGGAGACGGCCGGCGGCTCCTCACTCCTTCAGCTTATGGATGGTCTCCATGTCCACAGCCTCGGCGAGGGTGCCTTTCTCGACATGGTCCCACCAGCCCATCAGGAAGTTGTCCACCACCAGCCTGAACCAGGGGGAGATCTTCACGCCGTCCTCGCCAGCGTCAGCCTTTCGGATCAGCTCCTTGAGCTCCTCGCGGTTCACGTACTTCACGTCAGCGACTTCATCCGGGTTCGGCTGCACCTTCACGTCCCGGACGATGAACAGCAGGTAGTCAACTGGTGGTAAGAAAAAGGAACAACTAGCATTAGAAGTCAGTAGTTTCAGCGAAATATCTCTCAACAACAATGTTCAGTTTAATCTGTGTGGAGGATTCTATTCTAGTGTGTCAACAGTCTCTATGAAACATAGCTTCCATATCATCGACCAATTTGCAACTCGAACAGTATCTGAATGCAAGTAGATGAGGAGGAGGTGACAGAAACTTACGCTCATGCTCCCCCCATTTTCCATCAGATGGTGCCTTGTAAAGCATTCGACCGAGAGGGGTGAATTGGTCAACTGGGGCATCTTCTGCTGGGATGCCCAGTTCATCCAGCAGCTTCCTCTGTGCTGCATTTCTCACACCTGGAGAAGGATATAAGCTCCCAATGATCAGAGCAATAAAGGACAGAAAGGTAAAAAAATAATTTTGGTCTAGAAGCTGTCCCATAACATACCAAGGTAGTCCTCCTGGATAAGCTCAGACTCACGGTACAGAGGATGGCTGCAGCAGGTATTGGTCCAAACTAAAGGAAAGGTAACCTTTGTCACGGACCTTTGCTGCATGAGTAGAATGTGATAATCATCAGAAACAATTTGAAAAGAATAGGACAGTCACAAACATTGAATGTGTTGATCGAAAAGCAAACAAACATTGAACGAGGACAATGGTAATTGTGCTGATTCTAAACTTAAGGCCCAAACATTTAACTATAGTTACTCACTATTTTTGGTCTCAGAGAGCAAGTTGACTTATGAAATATGTACTTCCAACAATACTGGGGATCACTGCATCGAATGCAACTTCAAAGCTAACTGTCATATATACAGTCAAAGAAACAGCATCTACAAGTTTTAAAAGCAGCATGCTAAGCAATGGTAGTTCATTGATGGTGATTCAATGAGCCTTAACTTCCAGCTGGAGATCTACTATTACGAGGTACCAGGTAACCTGGGACTTCATGACTCATGACTTTCCATCTCAAACATAAGGGGAAAAAACAATCACTGGAAATTTAAAAAATTTGCCAAGTATGCAATAAAATAGACAAAAAAAGACATCGTAGAAATGCAGAGTAAAAAAAATAAAAACAAACCTGAAGTAGCAGCTCATATTTTGAGTTGAAAAGGAACACACTGAATGCCCTATGGAGCAGATTATCAGCCTCGATCTTTTCCATCAGATGGCCTATCATGGCATACAAATAACAAATCAAGTACTGTTCCACAAACCAGTTCAAACAACATTAACAGGGCACACAAAATATGTAGATTTGCAGAGCAGAATAGAATCTTACAGTTGTACTTTGACTCATGGCCAATAACATTGTCCTGCTCATCCACCAAAATGCATCTGTGAAAAAAAAATTCGAGCAAGCGTTGTCGAGAAGAATTGTCGGTGAATAATTTCAATATGACGAAACAATCATGTACTCTCTCCGTTCCAAATTATAAGTCGTTTTGATTTTTTTTATTCATCCATTTTGCCATGTATCTAGTTGACATATTATTTATCTAGATGCATAGCAATATGGATGTTTCAAAAAAGTCAAAGCGACTTATAATTTGGAACGGAGGGAGTAAATAACTAGGAGTATATCACAAGAAAAACTGCAAGAACACATCCACAAAATCTACAGATTTCTCTTTGATCCAGGTTCACCCACATGAATCTCCACACTCCACTTAAATTTTGTACTATAATAACTTCCTAAAAGAGCACTTTGTAAGCATAGCATTGCCCTGACTTTGGAAAGTACTCACCATCCAGGATTTACTGAACACTACTCACATCAATTATGAATTATCCACTTCACAACTTACATGACTCATAAAGAATTACTCGTCTACCCGTCATCAATTAAACAGAAAGGACATCCATAACCAGATCATCTTTTAAAAAAAGTACTTACTGAACCTGAATTCCAGATGCAAAAACAGCTCAGTTATAGTACCTACCTCCTTACATCGACCTACTGAGCCTAGACTCCAGTGCGCACTGGGCAGGCACGGCATGCCCGGAACTTTGGCGCAGTCCTGTCCGGCTAACCCCACAGCACGAGTATCCTAGAGCGCATCAAACACGTGCGACGGTGAGACCAAAACGTGGTACAGTATAATCACGGGCACAAACTCAGTCGTACTGAACAGCCTCCGTGAGCCAAACCGCGCCAGCGTTCCAATCGCCGCGAGATCCGGCGGAGCAGGCAGCTGCGCAACCGCGAACGAAAACCCCACCCCAGGCCCCAGAGAAATCGAGCAAATATCGATGCGCGTTCCGGAACAAGCGGGGGACAAGCAGATCGCCGATACACGAACGCACAGACTGACAGACAGGCAGGTAAGAGAGGGAGAGGAGCGAGACGTATAGCGGGAGGAAGGAGAGGGGGAGAAGAAAGGATGCTCACTCGTCCTCGAACATGAGCCGCTTCTGGACGGCGTCCATCCCAGCGTCGTCGACCACCGCGGCGGCCATCCCGACCTCTCTCTCTCTCGGCTCGCGTCAGGCGGGCGGAGGAGGAGCGTGACGCCACGGCGAAAGCGAAAGCGTTTGCGGCTGCCGCGGGTGTGCGGACTGCGCTGCGGAGTGTGTGCAGGCGTGCGGGGACCCGGGGGCCGGGGATAAATAAACAGGAAGGGATCGGCTGGCTGGCGGCTGGCGGACGGCGTGGCGGGCCCCACATGTCCGTGGGCCTGCGTGCGGGCGGGCGGAGATTCTCTAGTCCGGGTCAACCACCGGTTTTGTGAGCCCTTTCCTTCCTCGCCCGGGCAGAACATGTGCCGGACCAAATTTGGCTCTCGGCACACGGCAGCAGTGGAATTCCCAAACTCTATATGGTTCATCACAATTCACACGAGTTTCTCTCTTCCTCACTATACTCACCTTCCTTTCCTATTCACATGATGATTTCATGAAAGGATCAGAACTTCAAAAGACTAAAGTTGATCTGCGACTAAGGCTAGAGTTGGGGCATTGAGATTAGAGGAGGGGGGTTGCCGGCTACGGCGGGCAGAGGATGACAGTTGGAAGGGTCAGGTGGAGGGCACTCGCTCCGATGAGCTAGCATGGCGGGGTGAAACCCACCGTCAAGAGCAATATGGGGAGAGTGGGTAGTGGTGAGGGCTAACTATTCAAACTACAACGGTGTTGGCGCGACGAAGAAGACGGCAGGAGGAAGAAGAAATAAAGAGAGCGGTTGGATGAAATGTTGATATAGATCCAACGACTCAAATTTGGGTGTTAGTGATTTTTTAAAATACGTTTGCTTTAGTTGTTGCACATGTGATCCGTTCGCGAAGCGACAAAACTGCTCCCCTCCCGTGGCACTCCTTTTATGGCAACTTTTCTTCTCCATATCTATCTATCTTTGGGCGAAGTTTTTAAAAACTTGTATACGTAGTTCTTTTTTAACAAAACTTTTTTGATACATCCTTCTAATAACTTTTCAAAGATTTCTGGTAAAATATTCAAGCGTGATATATCACTGTTTGTCTAAATGGCTATTTAGTCCATTTAAACATTGTTAAGTGCTATACGGTGGAAATTAAGTCCAATTAGTATGAACAAACCACTAAACTAAAGATAATCAATTGTTTACTGTTTAACATTTAGGGAAGCACTAGGGGACTATTTGACACGATTTTGGAAACGCTAGGGGACTATTTGACACACTTTTATCAGGCTCCACCTCTTTGCTGTAGTATACGGAGGACTCGGAGCCTGTAAAGCCAAAAATAGTGGCTTTATAGGTTTTTAGTTTATTTTGAGGAGAGAGATAAAATTACTTCTTGCCAGTGTACATGAATGAGCCGGAGCTCCACCAGACATGGCCTAAATTCTGGTAAACCCTTAGCAATCTATGAATTAGGTCACTTCAGTGGGAAAGCGAATATACTGTGTAGAAAGGGAAAGAAATGAAACCACTATGTCTGGTTTTCTGCTAATTTTATGCCAGCCAAAAATTCATGCCAACGGTATTTATTCCCTCCCTTCTGAAATATGATGAATTTTAGTTTGTCTTAATTCAAATTACTTTAAGTTTGACCAAATTTATAGAGAAACGTGTTAATATTTACAATCTCAAATAGGTAAACTATAAATGTACATGTACATTTCATAAGGTATTAAATGATACTTACTCCTTTCCAAATTATAAGACGTTTGACTTTTCTAAATACATTATTTTTACTATGTATCTATACATAGTGTATATCTAAGTGCATAGCAACAGTTATATATATATATATATATATATATATATATATATATATATATATATATATATCTAGAAAAATCAAAATACCTTATAATTTAGAATGGAGGGAGTATTTGATATCACAAATATTATTAGTTTTTTCAGAAAACTTAGTCAAACTGATGTTAGTTTTACTTATAGAATAACTCAAAACTCATTATATTTCAAGGTAGTCACCGTCGAAAAGCCATGAGCTAGGCACATACGAGAATTGAATTAGCATTGCGTGAATCATTCTTTAGACCGGTTAACAATTGGAGTAATGGAGTGTTAGTCAAATTTGGTCAACACTCCTAAAATCCGGTTAATGCTGCCAAAGTTTTGTGAGGCAAACATTAGCAAATGTTGGTTGCAATTAGTTAAAAAAATATTCGTCACAATCTGTTCCCATAAAAAAAAAGAGGCCGCAACGAATTGCCCCTGGTAGCAAACGGGAATATTTTTTTTCATGGCACGTGATCCGGGCCCAGAGACTAGAGAGTGAGTGCGCGCTGCGGTCCGCCTCGTGTTCTTTGGTTGGGTAGCTCAGAGTGTGACCCCACATGGATAGACACATGGTTAAGCTGCCTCATGTGGTGGATCTGGATCACCTTCAGACATTGAGACCCATATATGAGTGGCCAAGTGAATATGTATATATATATATATATGTGTGTGTGTGTGTGTGTGTGTGTGTGTGTGTGTGTGTGTGTGTGTGTGTGTGTGTGATATATGGCAAAAACAAGTGAATCAAGTGCGTGATAATAGGTTCGTGATAATCTGGCAAAATCTTGGTTCATGTTGATCCGATCTGAACCTCCTGGCACCACCAGCTATCGTCCAAGATCCAGGGCCATTTGGTAAGGGCAAAGCCAAACTTTACGAGTCGAAGCTATAGTAGTTTACGCCACGGCAGGCACCGCTACCGCATCGCATGCAGCGCGAGCAGACTCTGAAAAAGGCAGAAACAGACGCTGTGCCGTCCAAGATCCCGGAGATTTCCCGGGGCCGGTTCGCGATGCGGCTGCACACTTGCACGGCACGGGAGGACGCGTGGGGGCTGAACTGGATAGAGATATGAAGCGGCACACCGCCCGCCCGCAGTCGAGCCACTTGTGCGCTCCCGCAGGCGGCAGGCGGCAACCGGTCGGGGAGGTTTCCGGCTCGTCGTCGTCGTCGTCGTGCGCGTGGCTTTGGACACGGACGCAGTCACGCAGGGCAGCCCGGGCGAACAACCACCCACCCACCAACGCTCCGGCTCGCTGTCGACGTCAGATCATCCGCAGCCATCCGCGGGAGATGATGGCAACCGAGAGGGTCCAGTCGATTGGAACTGAAACTGACCCTGGGTCAGGAGTCAGGACAACGGCACGTCCCCCGCGGGACACGGAAGCCTCTAGTAGACTCTAGAACGGTGACGGGTGACGGCGAAAGCGACACGGGCAGGCCGCGCGCGCTTCGTGCGGGTGCTTGTGCCACCCGCTCCGGCGGCAAGCGGGCAAGCGGCCGGCAACTCGGCAAGCAACCGTCCGATGCGTCGCCTAGCCATGCCGTCCCTTGGCTAAAACGAACCCAAGCTCCAGCAGCATTCCTTATCACAAACGCAAAAAAAAAAAAAAAACTCCAGCAGCATTCAGCCAAACACTGACACGCACCATGCGGGTTGAGTGCCAGGCAGAACAAACGGAACGCAACTCACATGATCATCTGCTGAAGAAGGATGGGCAGCACAAAAAATGGTTAAACCAATAGCTGTACGCCAGTATGCGATACGCGCATGATACATATCACGAGAATAGAGCAAAGTAAACCCCGGAACAACGCAAGACATGAGCCCAACAGTCAGGTATTGTTTCCTCACATGATATGGTACGGAATTGGTTCACAATTTCACAAACACGGAACAGAACATGTAGCACGGGATCATTCCACAGACACATATGGCATATGCAATGCAAGTTAAACCATCACAATCACTGGATGCCTCCACAGTACCTAAATCACTATCTCGTCAGTAGTAGCCAGCCGCCACCCGTCCGCTCTTCATTTGTCTCCACAGGCTAGAGCAATGGAGGACGAGTGCTGATAACATGTGTATGCGTCACAGCGGCAATAATGGCATCTCCCCGGCCGGCATGATACTGATAGGTTCGAGCAGTTCAGAAGATGGGCGCTATGCCAATGGCCCATCCCTCCGCACCCGAACACGCTCACCGTTGAAATGGATGTACTTCCACTTTTTCAAGTATTTCTCAAGGACGTGTTTTTCTTTTTCTTCTTGGCCAAAAGCCACGAATGCTTTTCCAATCCGTCTCGCTGTATCCTCATCTGGACGCACCCCTAATTCCTCCATGTCAGCATATATCTGAAATTGGCAACAAGAACACATTAAGACTTCAGAGTTCAGGCATCTCTTTTTGAACACAAAAGCTAAGTTACAAATCCTTTTTTCTTTTTTGAGATTAGCTAAGTTACAAATCTGACCAGCCAGCTAGACAGGTGTTGCTAGACCACATACAAGGAATTGTTTCCCATCCTGTTCCCATATGACCTGTCAGTCAGGCTGAATAAGCTGTCCATTAGGCTCCATGACCAGTGCTAGATGGGTGACCATATCCATATGAATACTGGTTAACCTTTCTAAGAACATTGAGTGGCATGTGACTTGCATAATTTTCAGAACTTAAGCATCAGTCAACTCATAATTATGGTTTCAATGGAAAGATTGACTCATAATTTATTATCATAGAATTATTCATGTACCAGTCAACAAATATAGTTGAAAATGAGTAAGATATACCTCCAAAACTTTATCTGGACGTCGGCAAATGTCATGCATCAAGATCATCCGAGAGAACAACCTCTTGGGCACTGAGCGTGTATGAGTCTGTATTACAGTATTCCAAATTGACTCAGCTTCATCTACCCGTTTATCCATAAAAAGTGCGAGCAGAAGTGTATCATATGTTGTCCAAGTCAGCACCTGGCCTTTGCTCATCAACCACTTGGTTACCTGTGAAAAGCATTGACATTCAGCAGGTGACTGGCAAAACTAGTTTGTTATCAGAAACTGTGATAACAGAACTCCAGATAAGAAAACCTAAATTATTGACTTGCTAGCAACTACTATAGCTTTTGTCCATAACAGTCATACCTGGATTATTCTTAGCCATTGCTGTCGCCTTTTCAACATCCCTAAAGCTTTTGCTGCTGCTATAATAGGAAATTCAGGCTCAAAAGCACTCCACTTGTCCAATGCACCATAAATAGCTTCTCTTTCATTTGGTAACTTTGAAACCTAAAAGATATGGTTCCACAGACTGAATTGTTGAGAACACGTCAGTTTCTTAAGCCTGATAGGATGGTTTTCACGATAACTAACTACTATTATTAATCAGAGCACAGGAAAAGAGAAATATGATAACAGAAGAAGCCATTTGTTAAACTGTTTTCACATTTTGAGGATACGATAAAGTGATCCTATATCTTACAGTATCCTTTTTTTTTCAAAAGATCCAGAATTCCGGCTTGATTAATAAGAAGGAGAGCAAGTGTATATCTTACAGCATCAATAAGACGCAGAGCCTTCTTCCCTGACCCAGCTGTCTCCTTCCTGATCCACAAATGCTGCTGCTTGTTTGGTTTCTTTGACACCCTATGACATAATAAATGCAAATTAATTTATTAAATGATAAAGAGCAGGTCAAAGTGCACATCATTATCTCAGAAGCAGTTGTTGCAAACCGAACAAATACTGATGATGCATGAAGATGTGAAGACCATAAGGGGAGGCCAAACCAACTAATTCCATTAAATGTGCCAACATTTCTTAAAGCATCTTTTGTTTTTTTGCAAAACATTTTTGATGGATGGAACCAGCAGGAAAATATAGTAGCTTATCTGACAGGCTACACATCTAAAACCATAAGGAGGACTAATTTCTAGCTGAACACTGATCGGAGTGAAAAATTATGCAGCACGGAATTCTTATGCCCATCTACATAACCCCAGAAGTAGAGGTAACACAAAATGGCACAATGCAAAGTGCGTACAGTTAATTCATATGCACAGTAAACCCAATGCAGTTCCTCTGCATATGCTAAACAAAACAACCAAATACCGGCAAGGCAGCAGTATCTCGAGAATCTATAGTGAGGTGTTCACATCATGTACCCCTAATTCGACAACGAAGCTTCTTCTGACAATACGGACACAAGAAAAATCACAGCGGTATTCAACTACCTCGTATGTGCCCCCAAAACCATCCGTGTGCCTTGAACCGGACCACCAAATTGGACTAGGAAAAAAAACCAGCTTCTACGAAATGCATTCCATCGACAAAGCAGCACGCTCGTAGTCGTAGAGCAAGGTGACGGGCAAGCAGCACAAGAATAAAGAAGAAACATATCCCCAGTTAGCACTTACAGCGCCCTGCTGCCTGCGTCGCGGTTGGCTCCTCCTCCGCCACCCTTCCCCCTCCCCGGCGGCTCCGCTGCGAGGCGAGGCACGAGACGGAGAGCGAAGGCTCCCGCCATGGCCCTGCCCTTCTTTCCTCGCCAAGCTCCGGCGAAGCCGGGGCTTGGCCGAATCGGATAACGTCTGGACAGCGGCGAAATTCGCCGGAGCTTGGCCGAATCGGATAACGTCTGGACAGCGGCGAAGTGGGGCTGGGACTTCGACTTGGGTAGTTGGGTTGGGACTTGGGAGGTCGTCGTCTCGGGCTCTCGGCTCGGCTAGGTCGAGACAACAACGTGGGCCGGTGGCCTCTGGCTCCTCAGTAGCCTGAATGAATGTATATAGTGGGCCGGAGCAGCTTCTGATTTGGTTTAGCAAATTGGGTCTGGTCTGGTTGAATGTATAGTGGGCCTTGGATGGATCGAGCTGTGGAAGAATGTAACAACACGGATTATGCTGCTACGGATAGTGTCTGGATTACGAATTCGGATAGTAATAGAGTGCATACAGGAACGATAAATGGAATTGGTCGCCGCCGGTGAACTCGAGCCGCAGCTCGCCACCATCTACTACCGGCGCGTTCCAAGACAAGTTCGAGTTCGCCAGGGGTTCACCTCTTAGACGAGTTCGCTTACAGCTGTTTCCAACAGCACATCACCAGACGTAGCTGGGCTTGGGCTTCTTCTACTTCTTCCAGCTTGGGCCGTGAAACTTTGGGTTGGCCTTCCTAGCGCGCTTGCTCCTTTTCCCTCCTGGGCTTGCAGGTACCTTGCGCACTATGACAAAGAACAACGCGCATAGGACGGCTCGGCTCGTCACGATCTCTCCAGTAAAAGAGGAATTGAAGTGTTCCTCGTAAAAAAAAAGTTCGGTAAAGTAAGAATGAATACCTCTCTTTCTCTTCAAAAACAAAAAAAGGAATGAATACCTTAGGTCCTCAAACTTTGAGATGTCGTACACTCGTACGACGTCGGGCGCGCTAGGCATGCTATAAAGCTCAGCTGTCTTGGAGAAGCAACCTCGAATCATATCTTTTTATCATGGAGCTCCTTTTTATCGACTAATCCCTTTCATTGATTCTTAATACTTTTCTGGGAAAAAAAGAAACATTCGTTTTCAACTTTTGTTAATCTCCTTTCTTTGTTTGCCAGAATAAGCAAGGGACCATGTCCATGCGAGAGAGAGAAGGAATAATCATAGCGTTGTTGCGTGGCGCTGAGGCCTTGTCAGCCGTACAATGTTTGTGCCAACGTAAATCTTACGCGTCCGTGCACAGGGAAACACTCATTCAGTCTCAGATAAAACAAAAGCGAAGCTCAGACTGTGGAGTTTGGATGGTTGCGCCAAGCAGAACCCTTTGTCGCTTGTTTTGGGATGCTCTGGTGCCGTGCTGCGCGGACCCCGTGCTGGGGCTCCATCGCCAGAATTTCAGACGACCAGAATCAGTTTCTTCAGCAGTACGAGAGTCTGACCACTTGGTTGTCGGCAATGCCGGATTTGTCCGATACCTTGTCTCAGCGTCAGTGTACAATGTCTTTGTAGAATGAGATGAACGGTATCTATGCACTCCATCTGTTCTTTAGTGAACGGTGATGATTCACAGATCATAAACATCACCACACTTTGCCTGCCCAAACTTGGATCTGGCAGATGAAAGACTGCGCTTCCATCTTCCCTCGCAGGGGCATGTTAAGTTGTTGACAACATCATTGCACGCTCAGGAGCATGAAAGAAAAACTAAGCATCTCAGCATGAAAGAAAAACTACCTGTTCGCTCGGCTTATAAGCCAAAGAGAACAGGGCGATGCTGATCAGCAGAGAAGTACATCGAAGATACCGGAAGGCTATGACAGGTGTAAATACATGAGAATGAGAGCACAAGAAAATTGTAATTACCATACAGCTACAATCTAATGTCAATGTCCTCTGGTCTGCACTTTAGGAAAACTAAGGGTACAGCATCATGTACATGTACAACAAAGGGCATCCTTTCTGGGAAAGCAGACCAAGTAATTCACTATATATATATTTTCATATGTAAGAGTTGATGTTTACTTCTGTCCTCCTGAAAACTTGTTGTCAGTGCCACGCAGAAGCAGATATCAACTTCCTGTTCTTCCAGCCGAGCAGCATCGCGCCATCCTTTTCCTCCAGGGTGTACTTGTCCGAGTAGCAGGCAAGGAGCTTCCTGATCACCGAGTTCACGTACGAGCTCAGCGGGTATGGTCTGAACCCGGCCATGGTCAGCCTTGACCGCCACTTACCCAGGAGCTCGTGCCTCTCCACCCGGTCCTTCCCCTCGCAGGCGATGATGTTCACAATGTCCTTGGCGAGGCAGTGCTGCTCCACGTTGATCCGCTCCTTGTTTTCCCGTGGCAGATTCGTGTCGATCGACTCAAACATGGCTGAGTAGTAGTCCAAGGTCTCAGTGAACCGCATCAGGAACGGGGTCGTGTTGGTGTGCGACTCCTGTTCCACAAGTGTGGTCACCTTTGGAGACAGACCTTTCACCATCCGAAGTAGCCCGTCCCGTGGGTTGTTCACGTCCACACTCTCATCTGGGGTGTGGTGCAGCTGCAGAGTGAAATTGACAGCAAGTGCTTCGCCTGGCTTGATGTCGAGCAATTCTTTTGTAACTTGAGTTGCATAAATACCAGGCAGAGGGGTAAACTCCAAAGGTATCTTGAATTCTTCAGACATGCTTTTCAACATCTTCCCTACAAGGTCCAGACCTTCACCACGAGCATACTCTGACACTGGATCATCTATTCCAGTGATCCGCACATGCGGTGGACCCCCAGGCCTTGCAGCGAGCGCTTGTATCAGTGTTATCCATTGTGTCCCTTGAGCAATCTGGAAATCAATTATATGGATTTTGTCCTCATTTCTTAATGCCTCTGCAATTGCCCCATTGGCAGCCATATAACCAAACTTGAAGTACGGACAGATATTATATAAAATCTTCATGTAAGACAAGAGTTCATTACTCTCTGGTTCACGGCACTTCAGAGCACGATATATGTTTGTACCTGAGTTTGCATGTCTAGCAACCAAACCCTCAAGAAGGTAAGCACCTAACCGCTGGATTGGCTCTCCAGTAATTGATACAACTCCACGAGCTTGCTGAACAAGGTTTAGGAACTCATCTATCCTCTCCTCACTTGATGCTTCAGCACACTTGGTTAATAGCTGCTTCACCATGCTCTGCGGATCCTCCCTTAACTCCCTTAGCCGTTTCTCTGGGCGGAATTCATAGCTTGCTGTGGGGTATCCAGATGCAAATTGTGGCCGCACAACTCCTGGTGATGGCTGCCTTGATTCATGACTCCATGTCCTCGACCGCTGCCTCATCAGCTGAGCAGGTTTATGTTCCTCAAATTCATGCTTGGTGCTAGTGGCTGCATCCTCAGCATCAGGTGCCATCAGAACAGTCTCTATTTCCCGTAAAGCGTGTTGCATATTATGCCTTGATGTTGCGTACAATGGATCAGGTCTCACTTGGGTGTTCTCCCGAAGGATAGCTGCTTGTCTGTATGAGCTGTCTACTTCCAGTGGTGATATTGGTTGTGCTGAAATGGTTTCTGTGGAGCTCTGATTATCTGGAGTATTGCTGAGAGCAGACAAATTATCACACTCAAGCTGGGATGAAAGAGGAGTGTATGGGGAGCTGCTGAACTCAGACTTCAGTGGACTAGCTGGCCAAGGAGTGTTTGCTAAGTTGTCTGTAGGAAATTCGTAGAAGACGTTAGCACCAGTTAATCTGTACTTTAACAACTGGTGCAAGTCCATAATAAATGAATGGGCATTAGTTGATCATGACCTGTACACAGCAGAAGATAAGATAGTATGAGCAACTTATCTCAAATAAGGACATTTGGTTTAGCAGTTCAACTTCAAGAATATAAGTCCAAAAAATGAAGAAAAGACGTAGGCAACAAATAACAAACAATGCAAACGACTAGCACGGCTTAATAAAATCATATGCAGCTTGGAATTCCCAAAATCCTCCATACAAGACAATTCATGAGGATACGTCTACTCATGCTTCAGCTAACCAAGTAAAACCACACTATCAGCATGCAAACAGCAGGGTACGTGGTTTTCATGCAAAAGATGTAACAAGGTATATTAGGTGGGAAGCTCTGAACTATTGCTAGCTATATCAGCAAAATCAATGGACCTTAATAGCCATTACCAAGAAGTTTATCCTCCATGACAATAATCAGAATATATGAGATGAGCTTAAATGACAAGTTCAGTGTTTCCTTACGTCCAATATGCTACGAGCAGATCAATCAAACAAACTACTAAAAAAAAGTATAGGCACATGCACTCATACAGATAGTTCCAAACAGCTACCTACATATCATGTTCACTATGTTAACAAAGTGCTAGCAGTGGAGGAATAGTAAATCTGTTTTGACAACATAGAAAAAATTCTTCATGGACCATCATTGCAAATTACATTAGCATCTTGGGAATTCCCATGTTACTGAGATAGCTATCCTATTTCATTAGATCATCAATCTGTGTCATGCAACTCCAAAGGCCAATCAGCCAGGACCCTTTTTTACAAAATATCTCAATTGCTTTCCAATAGTCCCAGTGGCTCCACCATTCTACCATCAAAATCAAAGCATCCTTATAATTAAATTTGTGTATTCAGAATGTCAAAATCAAGCAACAGAGCATCAAACTAGATTCTACAGAGGAACACAAGAAACGAAGGATGGTGTTTAAGTACCAAGTTGTCGTACTCTCAGGAAAAACAAGTATCATCCCATAGAAGAAATACAACCTAACAAGGGAGTCTGGAGACCAAACATCACAAAACATCTTACACCTACTTCAGCACAACCATGGCTGCTCCGATCATTAAGTAAACAAACTCATACATTCTCTAGTTGGTGGAAGAGCATTGACTACACTATTTGATAATCAATCCTCTAGACCAAACTTAAGCAGTCTCTAAGATTCTCTATTTGTTGAAGGAGGTTGACCAACTCTGTTGTTTGACTACCGGTCTATTTCTCCCCTCTGAATTACCAAGAAAGAACTCCCCAACAAGAAGTTTGACCAA